CTTTCTCCCTCTCTGAAATCCATAAGAATATTTTTTTAAAAAGCACAATTATTAGCCAGAGCATCTTCAACTACATCTGTCACTGCTCTTAAAGATCTGCCCCTAAAATACAGAGAGGCTCAGCCCACGCCTTGGAAAAGAGGGGCCGGAGGTGGAAGGGAGTCGGGCATCACAGGCAGAAACGAAACACGGGTCCAGGCCACACACCCCCCTCCATCAGGCCTCAGCCCCCCCTTTCTCCATCAGGCCTCAGCCCCGCCTCTTTCTCCATCAGGCCTCAGGCCCTCCACTCACCTGAAGGCGACCCCAGCCATATCAAACATGAGCCTGGCGGCGGTGGACTCCTCGCTATCGTGGTACTTATCAGACATGAATATAACTTCTTTGATACCTTAAAAGGCAACAAGGCAGGAAGCCCCGTTAGTACAAGCACAGCGACGCCACTACGTCGGAAGTACGGATGGCAGCGCTGCCCCCGGGTGCCCAGCAGTTCATCTTTTATAAGAAATCATGCATCCACTTGATGGCGGTGTCTGCAATGAATCGCCTCTCCCGAGGGCGTGTCCACACCACGCCCAGTGGCTGCAACCAGGAGCTGAGCTCCGGTCCAGCAGCGGACAGGGACAGCAGCAGACAGGGACAGCAGCGGACAGGGATGGGCGGTACTGAATCTGCCCTCTGGCATTTATGGATTTTTTTTAACAAAAGCAAAGTGAAAACAGTCAAGTGGTCAAGCCTCGATGTGATTAACAAATTTCCTTTACTGCGGGCAATCAGACGTTCTCTCTTCATAAGGCAATTACTGTCGAACTCCAGAGGCTGGTGGGGCAGGGAGGGGAGAGCGTGCTGGCAAAATCAGAGAGAGACCAGCGACTTCCCCGGACGGCTCTGCAGACCCACACGGAGCAGACCGGTGCTTCTCCCGTCTCACCAGCAGCGCTGACCTGAGGCAGGACCCCGACGGCACTCCCCACCCCAGCTCCGCGGGGACAGAAGGGGGCTGGCCCCCAGGGCATGCGCGGCTGGCTCTGCCCACGCCTGCACCGCCTCGGTGCCTATGTCCCCAAAGACCTTCCAGCGCCCGCGGGGAGCCACAGAGATTCTGGTTCCGACACCGGCAGACCCGCTCTGCTCACAGACCCTCGGGCTCGTGAGAAACAGCCCCTCTAAGCTGCACATCTGGCCGACAAGGCACGTCCCTAAATCTCACGCGGAGAGTTTTATGGAGACAGAGTGCGGCCGAATCTCAGATGTGACAGTTTGAAAAAGGCAAAACGTTCAGAACACAGTGCTGTCACTTCGCGGTAAGAAAAACTGAACATGGTTCCGTTGGAGTCCTTATGACATTAAAATGCAGAGATACGGTTAGGTCCTCAAATATCTCCCCTACATTAGCTACAAATTAAAATTTCACATACAGCCTCCCAGCTGACCTTGTATCTGACAGAAACTCATTCCCCCCCTCACCCGCACCCCCCCCCC